GGCTGCAGCCCGGGACGCCGCATGGGGGCCGCATGGGGGCCGCATGGGGGCGGCGGAGCCGGTCCACGCCGGCGGCAGGGACACACCGAGGGGGCCGCCCGCAGAGGTCCCCAGGAGCCGGCGTCCCCGCCCCGAGGCCCAGCCCGGGCTCCGGGGCTGGGAAGAGAAGTCCCAGGACTTCTGGCTGTGAACCCCGGGGGCTGAGGCGGAGGGAGGTGAGGAGCCGGCACCCGCTCCCTCCCCTGCGCTTCCCGCGGGGCAGCCACTCGGAAGGCACCGAGAGGAGGAGGGAGGCACAGTCCGGCATCAGGGTGAGAGCGGGGGGCAGCCTCCTGCAGACGGAAGAGCTGGCAGAGCCGCTGTTCCTTTTCTGAGCCCCCCGCCCCCCACCATGGAGCCTGCAGACCAGGGGCCTTGTCCGACTCCAGCAACCTGGCCCCCACGTTTGCCCCGCCCCGAGGTTCTGAGGCCCCGCCCCATGGTTCTCTGAGGCCCCGCCCAGGTGGTTCTGAGGCCCCGCCCCATGGTTCTCTGAGGCCCCGCCCCATGGTTCTCTGAGGCCCCGCCCAGGTGGTTCTGAGGCCCCGCCCCATGGTTCTCTGAGGCCCCGCCCAGGTGGTTCTGAGGCCCCGCCCCATGGTTCTCTGAGGCCCCGCCCCATGGTTCTCTGAGGCCCCGCCCCATGGTTCTCTGAGGCCCCGCCCAGGTGGTTCTGAGGCCCCGCCCCATGGTTCTCTGAGGCCCCGCCCCATGGTTCTCTGAGGCTCCGCCCCAGAGGTTCTGAGGCCCCGCCCCATGGTTCTCTGAGGCCCCGCCCAGGTGGTTCTGAGGCCCCGCCCCATGGTTCTCTGAGGCCCCGCCCAGGTGGTTCTCTGAGGCCCTGCCCCGGTGGTTCTGAGGCCCCGCCCCATGGTTCTCTGAGGCTCCGCCCCAGAGGTTCTGAGGCCCCGCCCCATGGTTCTCTGAGGCCCCGCCCAGGTGGTTCTCTGAGGCCCTGCCCCGGTGGTTCTGAGGCCCCGCCCCATGGTTCTCTGAGGCTCCGCCCCAGAGGTTCTGAGGCCCCGCCCCGGTGGTTCTGAGGCCCCGCCCCATGGTTCTCTGAGGCCCCCCCAGGTGGTTCTCTGAGGCCCCGCCCCGGAGGTTCTGAGGCCCCGCCCACCCAGCCTGCTTCCAGAGCCTCTCCCACAGGAATGGAGACTTCTCTAGACTTTCTCTAATAAGCAGGATCTGGCCTCACTGTGCCCTGTACCTCTTGCTACGTGGCCACAGGCCCAGCACTCGAAGCAGCCAGCCTTGGGTCACAGCTGGGCCTTCCTGGACACCTCCAAGCCCAGCACAAGCAGCAGCCATGTGCAGATCACTTTGTAGCTCATGCCTGGTGGCCCCAGGCGAACGCAGGTGGTGGCTGGTCTTGGACTGTACCTCCCAGGAGGCCCCAGAGCCAGCACATCCAATGGACAGCTTCAGACCACATTGAAGCACCACACCCACCACCTCCACAAGCGACACACTCAAGGGGCAAACTCAGTGCGTACAGAGCCCTGCTGAAGTCGGTCCTGCTGTGTGGTGGGCCCTGCACAGCTGATTCTCCTCGGTCATCGGAGGTCAGTGGTCCGTGGTCAGAGCCAGTCTTTGCAGCCAATTGGCCTGGAGGTTACTCCCTCCCATTGAGATGCCAACAATAATCAAGGCTCAACTACAAGCAAAGGGTGTACACAGCCCACATGGGGGCATAGCTTGAGGGCCCAGCTGGGTGATCAGCAGAGCTGCGCCACTAGACCCCACAGGACACCTCCTACATTAGGCCACTCTGCCAAGTCTGGGAGATGTAAAAGTTTTACCTAATTCATAGAAACACAGGGAGGCAGCCAAATAAGGAGACAAAGAAACATGCCCCAAATGAAAGAACAGAGCAAAACTCAAAAAAAAAAGAACGAAACAAAATGAAGACAGATAATCTAACAGATGCAGAATTCAAAATGCTGGTTATAAGGATGCTCAAGGAACTTAGTGAAGGCCTCAACAGCATAAAAAAAGTTCCACTCAGAAATGAAGGAGGCACTAACTGAAATAAAGAATAATTTACAGGGAATCAACAGTAGAGTACATGAAACCAAGCATCAAAATAGTGATATAGATTATAATGAAGCAAAACACCCAATCAGAACAGCACAAAGAAAAAAGAATGCGAAAAAAATGATAGTGTAAGGAGCCCCTGGTACAACTTCGAGCATGCCAACATTCCCATCATGGGGGTGCCAGGAGGAGGAGAGAGAGAGGGCAAGAAAATGAAAACCTATAGAAAAAAACAATCACAGAAAACTTCCCTAACTTGGACATACAAGTCTAGGAAGTACAGAGAGTCCCAAACAAGATGAAGCCAAAGAGGACCACACCAAGACACATCAGCATCAAAATAGCAAAGGTTAAAATGCAAAGTGAGTACCTGAAAAGCAACAAGAGAAAAGCAATTAGTTACCTACAAGAGAGCTCCCATAAGACTGTCAGCTGATTTCTTAACAGAAACTTTGCAGGTCAAAAGGGAGTGGCAAGAAATATTCAAAGTGATGAAAAGTAAGGACCTACAGCCAACACTACTCTACCCAGCAACACTATTATTTAGAATTGAAGGACAGAGTCCCAGATCAAAAAAAAAAAAGCTAAAGGAGCTTATCACCACCAAACCAGCATTACACGTTAAAGGGTCTTCTTTGAGAAGGAAAAAAAAAAAAAAAAGATAAAAAATATGAACAAAACGGTAAAACAAAAGAAACCTCATATCTATCAACAATTGAATCTACAAAACAAAACAAACAGCAAGACATACTCAGATAGAGCGCGTTCTGGGGGCTGCCCAGCAGGAGGGGAAGCAAGGATGGGTGGAAAGGTGACGGACTGAGAAGCACACACTGGTGTGGCTGCAGAACAGTGGTGTGATGTCAAGTACAGCGCAGGGAGTGCCGTCAATATTCTGATGACCATGCGTGGTGTCAGACGGGTGCGAGATTCATCAGGATGATCACTGAGGAAGTTGTGTGATGTCTGACCACTGGGGCGTCCACCTGAAACTAACACAAAACTGTACGCCAATTGTACTTGAAAGTAAAAGATGATAGGAAAGAGATTACATGATAATGACCTAATGTTTATCTGGCTGTGTTTTTGTTTTATCCTAACAGAAATGGACACCTGGTTTTGGAGGCAAGTCCACGTGATCACAGACGTGTGCTCTTCCTCCCCCAGGGCCTCGCCTGCAATGTCTGCCCTGCTGGGGCACCTCGGCAGCCTCCGGGGCAGGCGCGTCTCCTTCACCCCACAAGACCAGACCCAGGGCTCGGCACACAGCAGGATTTCAGCGGCGTGGACTGTGAGCAACGATGGAAAGGGCAGTTCCCTTCCACTTTAGCCAACTGACACCTGAGATGTACTTCCGCAGAAACCTGCAACCACCCAAAATGTAAGCGAAGCAGCACTCTCCACTCCGAGCGGCTGTGTGAATGCACGTGTGTGTGGACCAAGTGACAGGTGGCCGAGGAACCTGGAGAAGAGCGACAGGATCGATGGCGGGACATGAGGGGAACGCCCGAGGAACTGTCTCGGTCTCCATGGCCTCGATGGTGCTCTGGGGGCTGCGGGGTCTGTGAGGGGGGACAAGGCTCTTCCGGACGACCTCCCCTCCTGAGACCGGAGCGCGGAGCCCGCGAACCCAGCGTGAACGAGGCCACACCATGTTTTGTCCAACACAGTGCATGGGAGGGAAACGGGGATGATGTAAAATGAGTGTTAACGGTAGACTTCAGAAAGTGATGATCTTACGGGCTGAGGCCTAAATTGGAAGGAAGCACAAGATAGTTGAGAGACCTCAAAACTGAAATCCTGACTAGTCGCCCAAGGAGGAGAAGGCAGAGTAAGAAGATCGAATATGGCCAAAGGAGTTCTTGAATAAAATCAGATGATGGAAGGCCAGATTTTCAAAGGGAAATAAATTATATGAATAAAAATTAACACAATACAGAAGCAAAAATGAGAACAATGCAGAGAATTAAAGTCCAGAATGAAATGAGGTGAAAGCAGCTTTAATGTGGTGTCCCCGGCGAGATGCTGGACAGAAATGCAGGACCATCCTGAACGGGAGCACGGAGCTCGAGACCACTGCAGGCCCTTCCGCTCCCAGAGACAGGGACCACGCTCTTCTTCTCTGTGCACCCCAGAGCCAGCAGTTACTGACAAACATAAGACATCCGTTAAAACTATTCGAACCCACTTAACAGAGAAAGTCAGAATTAACTTCTCCCTTCTTTTCTGCCAGAAAACATTCTTTTCAGAGTAGAAAATGTGGAATGAAGAGTATGAGAAACAACTGAACCTGATGATAATTTTGAGTCAGCCTAAGAAAATACTTGCTAATAACTCAGACGGCCTTAAAACGTATACAGGTGTCTTAAGAGGTGATAAATGCTACCATCAAATTAATTGCTAATGAAGTTTCCTTCATCTTCCCAACATTGATGTAACCCTTTTAGATGAATAACACGATATATCAGCATATCAACTTTTTATTTCCTATTATATAATTATTACCAAATACAGTTAAACTGGAAAATAACATTGTAAGTTCCCTACACTTTGTCCCTAAACATTACACAAAATTTCACTAAACACTCTTCTTGTTTCAAGCTGTCGTGGACACGTGATGTTTAAAAACAACAAAACAAAACAAAGGACCTCACAACGTTCCCCTTTGCGCAGCAGCCTAAGGTGCAGAATCTGCACACGCCACACGCTGCGGCTGGACGCCTGCGGCTGGAAAAGACGCGTGTGCAGAAGGGGGTGAAATGACACAGTTTACACACACACACACACTCTCTCAACCGAATGGACAGCATTTCAACTTTGTGGGAAAATAAGATCAAGACAAAGTAACACTATGAAAGTCAATGTTGAGAAGAACAAGAAAATTTTAATAATTATGAACTTTATTTTTATTTGCTATGCCAACATTTTCAGGAAAGAGACTTTACATCCAGTTTTATAATTCATTTTACAAGCAAATTCTAATATACAGTATTTACTCTGAACTGTTTTTTTTTTAATCAATGGAAAAAAACAATACTGCAGATACTAAAGATTGTGGTGTTCTGGTTTTAGTTAGTTATGACTTAGAGATTTCCACTTCTTTAGGTCAGTATTATGTTGCTATGGCGATGCTTTAGCAAGGAGAACATGGATAGCTTCTCCTCAACAGAGTTAAAACATATGATTTATCCTTAATTAACAGCACAACTGTAGATTGGCGCCGACCATCATAATCATGTATTCAAATGTATTCTTTCAAATTACTGCATCAGAAAAATGGAAGGGAGGTGTGGAAAGAAAATTAGAAAGTCTAATCAAGCATCAGAATCAAGAACAAGGGCAAGGCCATCATCCCCAAGGAAAGTACCAGGTGTCTGCGTTACAGCTACAACTAATTTCCGATGTGCGCAGAGCATGCAGACAACCACCCGACTTCTCAGACAGGCAAGCGACGGGCAGTCTGAGCGCGAGCAGAACGTGCCGCAGTGATTCCCAGTCACTCCGCAGCCACCACGACAGCTCTGCCCAGCACGAGACGTGGCCTGTGCCTGTGCTGCCGTCTGTGCTGCAGGGAGACTCCGGAGGATCACGTTCTCTCTGATGTAAACTACACAAGGGTCAATGGAACAGTCAAAGAAGTTAGTGCTTTAATGGGAAAGGCGACACGCAGAGGATATAATCTGTGAAAAGCTGTACGTCAAACGGCAACAATCAGAGAGAAATTTATTTCAACAAAAAACTCACACCCAATAGGAGGCATTTTGATAATTCAGGCACAGCTTCAAGCAATTAAGTTCATTTAAAGTGCAAATCTGATATTTTCTTTCATATTCAGGTTTTTACTTGTTAGAATACTCAGTAGGTTCCCTAATATCTATACAAATACAATAAACAGTAGTCTATATGCCTGAAAATATTGCACAAATTAAAATGAGACTTCAAAGGAAAAATGTTAGAGGGTCTCAGTCTTTAGAAACATTCTAAATGATGTCATCCTTTAATTAAAATCATTAAAATCATCTGCACCTGTCCTGATGCACTCCTTACGCCACGCTTTCTTTAAAGACTTTGACACGCTCCCATGAACAGCGAATGTATAATTCTACATACTCCAGCCATTGTTTCTTTGACAGATGTGAAACGTAACCCATCTCCAGAAACTTCTTCCTCGGGACTTGGAATTCACACCCTGCAACCATCTTCACTGAAATAACAAGAATTAGAAGAGGGATCTGGGTTCTTGTGCGGGGGTTTGGCGGACGTGATACACAGAAGCACCCAACAGAGCCACATCATGCAAGCTACATCGTCACCTCATTTCTGAGTTAACGTTTACTAAGGAGCAGCCGAACACAGTGTTCTTGCAGTTTTTAAAGAAAACTGCAGGCAAATACTTCATTGGTTTGGTGCAAGTATCTTAAACTTTTTTCTTTTAAATCTATTATGCTTCATAATTATATCAATGAGCCTTCTGCCAAAATTAAGGCTCAACAAAGGTACAGAGAAGATGAAATGATGGGTTCATTCATATTTCTGCAAATTAATCAGGGAGAAAAAAGAACAGAAAAAATATTAGAATAAACAAATTGCAGAAGTGAATTTTTTACCCTCACACTATAAGGTTAAAAATAACATAAAAAATTAAAACTTTTCCCTTAAAGTTCAAGGCCTACTTGTAAATAATGTTGCACAAGTCTATCTACGTGTGCTCCATGCTGCTGAGCGGGCCCCTCCTGGTGACCAGTGAATGAGTGACGTCCACGCCGTCCTGTCCTCCTGCTCGGCTCCTGCAGACTCACACCTGTGACTCCATCACAGTCAATCCCTCTCCTGTTGATCTTCCTCTTTCCTGCTGCCTCCCTCGTTTCCCAGCACCGTGTCTTTCTCAAAAGCCCTCTCAAGATGGGTCTGCACCAACTCCTAAGTCAACCAAAGACAACCTGATCATCAGCATGTTTTACTTCAGGGAAAATACAGTGATAACATCCCATTTACAATATGTGAGATCAGTTTTTTCTCCTTAAAAATGAAAGACCGCATGTGCCCACTTACAGCTGCAGCCATGACTGCTGGTCTCTGAACACACAGGCTCTGCTGCGGGTCTGACCACTTTATACCAACATCTGGACACCGTGCAAACACTCTCAGAACTTTTGTGCTTTTCCTGCGGAAGTGATGCTGAGCAAGAGTAGGATGCTCACCTGTCTGTAACCAGCGACTGGCAAGTGCACTCGACGGTAAGGGGAGACTGCGTCAACACGGCAGTAACCACCTCTTTCGAAACCTACACTAAAGCACCAGCTGTTATTTCACTCAAAAGGAGCAATTTCACCAGCGTACATTTTTAAAAGGAATCCCCAGAAATTTGAGTGGCTTTTTGGCCAGAAGCCCTTTTGATCCATTTTTTGTCAGCTGATCAAAACAAAAATTTGCACTGTAGAAGCCTCTCTCTCTGAAAGTCATTGATTCTAATTAAAGCAGCAACAGATGAGCTCCTGATGCCTGGCCCTCCTCGGGACAGCAGGAGGGCACCATGACCTGGTCCGCAGCAGGGCTGGGGAGCACTCTGGTCCCTTGGGGGGCTGTCTTTCTAGCACATGGAATAAGCATGTTGCCACTGAAATCTGTCTAAATACCTTTTAATAAAACACAATTTCCCCTATTTTTCTTTCCAAATCCACTCTTCAAGAAACTGACTTTCAAACATACACCAACATAAAAGGGAATCTGAAAAACCCGGCAAAACAGAAATACTGTATATTCTAGCTTTCTCAAGGTCGGCTTAATTAAATTTATAATTATTGTCAAATATTTTAACTTGTTTTGCTACAGAAAATAGTCTCAAATCCCCATGTGTGGGATATTTATATTCCATCAAAGTTTTGTGCAAACATTTCAAGTCCATTATTCCAGTCTTCAGATATTAGCAGAAAGTCAATAAATATACATATTACAATAAAGACTTAATTTAAAATATATGATGTGGGCTTTAAAACAGCTATCATGAATCCATCAGCCTATAGGGTTCAAAACGGAATCACCAGTAAAACTCTAGCATCGACATGTTCTCAGTGAGCACATGTTTAGTACAGGTGTCAAGATGTATCTCAAGCTTTCCAAAACGTACCCCGTACCAAAAACAAACACAGTGGTGTGTGTGTATAAAACAGGTGTTTTAAAGTGACATACACTTGTATACGTGACAGGACACACTGCAGCCTGGGGTACTGGTAGATGGGCACTGAGGACAGCTGCTGACCCTGGCAAGGAGAAGGAAACTTACATGGACTTCCCATCAAAGGCGTGATCTCCTTTATTCATCCTGGAGCTTTTGCATAGACCTTTCAAACACACAAACCACTGCCCAGAACTCTGCTCACAGACTGTCTTCCATTATCACCGCATCTTTAGTTAAAATAATAACCATATTCACAAGAGGAACGTGGAAGGAGTGAGGCTGTGAGACCCACGATTAGCACAGGCCTCAAAAAGACTGAATAAGCAAAGCCAGGTCTTCCCGCTAAGTGGCGGATGGATGCATTTCTGATGTGCGGAGTCGTGGCTCCTGATCACAGCCTCTGCGGGCCTCCGAGACGGCTAAGCGAACATCTGTGTTTACCTGAGACAAATACCCTCAAATGCTGTGTGTTTCCACCAGGATATACGATGGAAGAGTCCAAACTAGCAAAGCTTCCCATTTCCAATGTTTAAGATTTGAAGTCATCAATGGAACCTCCACTGTGGCGGCGAACTGCACGGAGCTGTCAGAGAGCAGACTGTTCAAAAAACACACAATGACCCGATTGGCAGGCGACGGCCGTGTACTTAGTGTATCTTTGGTTTAGGAAGACGAGAATATCGATTAGAGGCCAAACAGTCCCCAGAATTCAAATTGCCATTTGGATTCTGCATGATTTCTCTTCTTTTTGTCAGTGGCCTTGGGATGCTTGTCTTGGCCTGGAAGTGCGGAGGCTCTGGCTGGGGGCTGCTCATTGGTTTCTGTTTGAAAGAGATAGAAGGAGGGCGGAGCCTTGATGCTCTTGTATTTAGATTAGTTGCAAGATTTGTTTGACTAGATGTTAGCTGATGCTTTGCTGAATTACATGGTGTGATTATTGTTGAGTTCTTACAAGTGGGAGTCCTCTCTGGAGATGATTCGGAAACTGAAGGAGGTAACACAGAGTTCAAGCTGGATGGCTTCAGAAGCTGCAAGGATTTGGGCTGAGACGCGCAGTCCTCCGCTGACGACTGATTCCTTCCAGCTCTCTTAGCCTGACCGACTGCACTGGGCTGGGCAAGTGCTGGAGCAGAGGCGGGCACAGCCTGCAGGCCATCCATGTGGTTATCTGCCAACTGACAGGGCCCGTGAACACCCACAGTCACGTCCAGGTTCGCTTCTGAAAGCCCGCTCTTAGCCACACCCTTGGCCAGCTGCAGGCCTGAGGAGACAGGCAGGTCTTCCAGACCACAGCTGCTGTCCTGCTGCAAGCCATGCGCAAAGCTTCCGCCCAGGCGAGCTGCGCCCTGGCGTGCGCCCCGCCCGGCGCCCTCACTGTGGTCCTCGGTGTGCGGGGGCTTCATCAGCTTTCCCGGGGCGGCGTCTGTGGGTCTGGGAAGGCCGCTGGAAGGCTGTAGTGCTGGAGGCTGTTCAAGTGAAAACAACACCAGGGATTCAGTTTAGAGCTGCACCCAGAATTCATTTAAGATCCAATTCGGCTGTGTTGGTACTTACTGTATTGTAATATGAGAAGTATGTAACTTCTTTTAAATTAAAAAATAAATGGCAATATTCAACTGAATTCATGAGTCACATGACAAGAATGACAATACAAACAAAAATGATTCAGGCAGTCAACACTAAACAAGATCCAAAATCAATCAGGAGAAAAGAAACACCTTAAAGTCGGGATTTATTGTTGAAAAAAGACTCCTGACTTGCCCTGGCTGGTTTGGCTCAGCAGTTAGAGCGTGGCCTGAGGTTCAGGGAGACCCAGGTTCGGTTCCTGCTAAGGGCACATACCTTGGTTGCAGTTTGTCCCCGGCCCTGGTTGGATCATGTGGGTGGCAACCACTTGATGTGTCTGTTTTACGTCGATATTCCTCTCTCTCTCCCCCTCCCTCCCACTCTATCTGAACAAAATATCGAAAAAATAAAAAAAAAAAAAGATTCCTGATTTAATTGATTCATTAAGTATTTAAAACTTTATAAATATGAGCTTGACAGAAAGAACTGTGGTTTAAGCTCCATAAAGCATTCAGATAGTAACTGTGACCTTCGGAATATTACCATTTTTTGAGACTTTTTAAGCAGGAAAGCTGTGTACAACCTTCTCACGTGTGACTAGAGGAGGTAGTAACTGGAGCGTCAAGGCTCTGTGCATGAAGATGGGAAGTTACCAGCAGATAAGGGTTAGAGTTAAGATGTTCTCAGTGGATATGAAACTGTAATTAAACAAGAATAGGTCATACACTTAGCTAATGCTAACCCACTTTTAATATTTTATTGAAAAGTTTCAGAATAAAATGTTTTCACCCTTATTTGTTTTGTCACCCAGGTTCCGCTATGGCTGATATGCAGAAAGCAGATTTACTTTGCGCAAGAGTGAGCATCCATTCAATAAGACTGAAGACGATCAGCCCTGCAGCCACGTCAAGCCCAGCGCCCAGCCCGCCCGCGGCAGGCACCGCCCAGAAGGCTACCACAGAATCACTGCGACTCATGGGCCCTGATCCCCACTACTGGGCCTCAGGGATAAATTAAAAAATAAATAAAATAAAATAAAAATAATCAGCCTTTGGGATGTGGCTGAGATAAAAACAAATCAGAAGTTGCTGTAACTAGAACTAATGCTCAGAGCCCCACAGCACGGCCCGGAGAGCCCACGGGCCGGCACCTGCCCTGGAGATGCCGCGTGGAGCAGCTCCACACCCGGCAGACGGAACACGCACCCCCATCACTGTGCACCCTTGGGGACCAGGAACCTCGCCACGGCCAGTGTGGCTCCCTGGTTAAGCGTCAGCCCACGAATTGAAGGTCTTAGGATGGCTTCAAGGTCAAGGGCACACACCTGAGTTACAGGTCTGATCCCAGGCCCGGTCAGGGTGTATGCTGGAGGCCATGGATCTGTGTGTCTCACATCGATGTTTATGTTTCCCTCTCTCTCCTCTCCCCTTCCACTCCCTCTACACAGCAGTGGGAAAATATCCTCAGGTGAGGATTTAAAAAAAAAAGAAATATGAATCTGAGAGTTTTCTTTCAGTGACCAAAACTATGTCTGTATGGGGCAGAGCCCACAACTCCTGTCCTGATCCAAGGGCGGCTGCTATACATGTACACACACACCACACACACACACACCACACACTACACACCACACACATACACTATACACACCACACACACACAAAACACACCACGCACACACAACCCACACACCATACACACCACACACACACAACACACATACACAAAACACACCACACACATACACATACCACACACACCACACACATACACACCACACACACTACACACACACACACGTGCACCAAACACACACACATTTTCTATTTTTTTTTTTTTTTTTTTTGTTTTTTTTTAATCCTCACCCGAGGACATTTTTCCATTTTTTGTTCAGGTAGAGTGGGAGGGAGAGAGAGGAACAGAGAGAGAGAGAGAGAAACATCGATGTGAAAGGAACACATCGAGTGGCTGCCACCCTCACAACCGACCAGGGCTGGGGACAAACTGCAACCGAGGTACATGCCCTTAGCGGGAACCGAACCCGGGTCTCTCAGGACCGCAGGCCGACGCTCCAACCGCTGAGCCAAACCGGCCAGGGCACACACATTTTCTATTAAATAATGTAGGTTGAAAATATCAAAAAGTTTGGCACAGGGCTTTGAAACATGAAATTAAAGGACCATTTTTACTAATAAATAACTTTTTAAAACAATGTTAATCCATAAACAAACCTACACAATATCTCTAATTTCTCCAACAGAAAGGGTGACTCTATCCTGCATCATTTATTTGGTCCCTCTGCTCAGCTCCCTGACCAGCACTAGGAGGTGGCATCCAGGGTCAGCAACCAGGGGTCAGATGGTGGCAGGTTACCCAGGACTGAGCACAAGGTCCACTCATGGGGACAGTTGGCCTTGCTGGCTCAGGGCTGGCTTGCTATTTAAAACAGTAATAAAACCACCTGGCCGGTGTGGCTCAGTGGTGAGCGCCGCCCTGCACCAAGAGGTCTCTGGGTCGATTCCTGGTCTGGACACATGCCCAGGTTGTGGGTCCATCCCCAGGGGGGCGGGGCATGCAAGGGGCGGGCAGTTGATGTTCTCTCTCATCAATGTTTCTACCTCTTTCTCCCTCTCTAAAATCAATGAAGAAAAATTTTTTTAAAAGAATAAAATAAAATAAATAAATACAATCAGGACAATGACTACTCAAAATTAATCCATACAGAATATGTTATATTAAACTACTTTAGAATGTTTAAGATAAATAAGCTATCTCAGTTTTTACTTCAAGTGAAACATTCTAAACTGTAAAGTCAGTGGGCATTTTTCCTCAATAAGTCACCGTAGAGATGAATACACTCTAACAACGAGGGTCCTAAAATCACCATGTAACTAATTCAACAGACTCTTCTTGGGGCTCCCTTGAAACGATGGCCGTGCCTGAGTGACCGTGCGCTCTGGGAAGATCAGCGGGAATTAGAGCAGGACCATGTCAAGCAGATTAAAACATACAAAGAGGGAAAAAAAGCACCTGAGTGGGTATTTTCCCTTTTCACCCTCAAAAATAAGAAAAAGAAGTACAGAGATGTGCTATCAGCTCAAAGCATAAAAAGGTATGGTTTTTAAAATTAAGACAAAGTAGCAAACCGATAGGGAAACCACCTGTCACAGGCGTCTTCGCACTGGCCGCCTCCTCGGACCCGAGCCGAAGGGCCGCAGGGACCCGCCGCCTGCGTGAGGGGCGGTGAAGCTCCGCCGCAAATGATGGAAAAATAGGTTTTTAAAAATAAAGTTCTGAGTGTTTTAACTGAGAGGAGTTAGACTAAACAATTACACGTTAAAAGACTAAACCATCCCTTGATTAAATTAATCCGTGGTTTTTGAATAATGAATAATGTACATTTTACATTTTTACTAAAAGGGGTAAAATTTGCCTACCCTAAAATAAATGTATTGCTTTTTGTTTAATTGGAAACTAGTTAGGAAATCAATTCTGCTACTGCAGGGAAAGTCTCCTCCGTGGCGATGGTCGCAGAGGAGAAGGCGGGGCCCAGGAGGGCGGGAGGGAACAGTCGTGAGGACGCCAAGCACAGCACAGGGAACAGTCAGTGACACGTGGGAACTGTGCTGGTGTCAGACGGGTGAAGATCTGTCAGGGCACCATTCTAAGGCACACAGATGTCTAACCACTGAGTTGTACACATGAAACTAATTACTATTGTATGTCAGCTACAATGAAAAATATTTTCACTGGAAGAAAAAGTGTCTTGAAGAAGATGAAGACATCCCGTGGCAAGGGCCACGGCAAGGGCCACGGCAGTGCCTGCTCTAGGTCTGGGGACGAGTGTGCAGACCTGCTCGGCCCCAAGGACGGTGCCGTCCACTCCCCACGGGCCAGCTGGGCTGCGGGCCGAGTCCTAGCACCTGACCAGCAAACCTGAGAGGTGTTCTGAGAGCTTCTTGCTTGAGGCACAACTTCCCAAGTTCCAGATACTGAGCTGAGCTCACACAAGGCAAAGTGCCAGCGCTTCTCTCCCCGCCCCTGCTGCTCCCAGCCTCGGACGTCTTCGGAATGAACTCTGACGTCAGAAGACCCCCATGCTCAGGGCAGTGAGGTCGCCCGGAAGGGACATGAGGACCGTCCGCACGTGTGCTGTCGGCTGCAGCGACGGGTCGGGCACTGCTGGGCGCGGGAAGATGCGGGGCTGTACCCGATGCCGCTGCCGAGCGGAGAGCCCGGAGAGCCGCCTGCACAGATGCGAGACCCGCTCGAGCGCAGCGCCGAGGCCCACAGAGCCGGTGCCTGCCAGAGGGCAGAGGGCAGAGGGCAGAGGGCGTCCAAGCATCGCAGCGTCTGAAGAGAGTTTGCCAAGCAGACGGGACACGGCGCGTCCCAGGGACTTCGCTGAGGACAGCGATGGGCGTGTGGGCAGGTCGGCTCACAAAGGACGCCCGTCAGGCCACATGGGTCTGACCTGTGCGGTGGAGGAGGGAGACGTGGGTGGATGTTCAGCAGCAGAATCACCCAGACCCGCTGTGAACTCGGCAGTGTCACTCTGGGGGTCAGAGGAACACGGGAGGGACAGATGGCGAGCAGAGCAGCCAGGGAGCGTGCCTATCGCCAGTCGCCCAGGTGATACATTAGAAGGGTCTAAAAACATTAGAATATGAAAGAAAAACTGGAAAGAATTGAAAGAGATGTTGAAGGTGGGACAGCAACATCTGCTGCTCAGGAGGAATTCAGATGCGTCCCAGGCTTCTGGCTGTGGAGATGCAGGGTGAAGGCCCTGCACTAAAGCCGCCCCTGAGGAGCCTGCCCGCAAGACACAGGACAAAGGACCCCACTGCTGGGGCTTCAGGACATGCTCCCCGTCACAGTGAGTACAACTTGTTGCTCCATCCTTGCAATGTCGAGGGGCTGGCTACTGACGCGCTGAAGTGTGGACCCCAGACTCAGAGCTGAGCAGCCCACTGCCCCGACGCCGTCTGACGCCAGGCAGACGACACGCTCTGCGCCGTCCGAGCTCTCAGAGGCCACGGCTACAAGGCTCGAGGTCCAGCGTACCAGCAGCTCTGACCAGCTGCACGAGCTCGCGAAACCCTGAGATAACTCTGAGCGTCGACCCAGGCCGCTCACGAAGACGGACCACACACCAGCTCCATCCACCTGCTGCTGCAGTGGGTTCCCCCGTGTTGGGTACATAGCAGGGAACACACACACGCACCACACACACACACACGTATTTGCTAGAAAATGAATGAATAAATAAATGCATATTGGCAAGTAGTACATTCCAGAATTACTTCCTTGGTAATAAATTATCAAAATGCTACTTCCCTGTCAGGGCGATGATGCGACACTAAAACACTGACCGAAAATCTCACAGAAGGCGTCGCCCCAGGTGAGCCTGGAGCTCCTGCGGGCTGTGCGCAGGGCAGATTTGGGACAGACCCGCGCTCCGGACCAGCGCCTCCCGAGGCCTGCCCGCTGAGCATGGACACTTTACCAGAGACTAGATCTTTCTGGATAAAATGAGCTGCAAAAATTGTCTTAACAAGCATTCAGCTATTTTCCATTTCTAATTCTAATAATCAATTACATTTTTTATTATTTATGTAAAATACTTACCATAAGACCTCCTAGCACATCAAATATGCTCAATAAATGTTACCTATGATTTAGGTGTGAAAATGATGAATTTAAGTCATGGTCTTTTTGTAACCGGGTCTTGAAAAAAGAAGAAAGGCAAGTTCTACAGCAGGGTAATGAGTTAGTTGCTACAGATTAAGAGGCTTCAAGACTCCAAATATGCATTTCAGTAACGTCGGTCACATCCCAACGTTTACATCCACAGCAAGTGCACGCGACACGGAGGGCAAGGCTCCGCTGGCCTCGCTGAGACACACAGAGCTGGGCGCGCAGACACGTCAAGGCGCAGAAGAAACGCTGCAGGAAGGGGCTCGTCACAGCGCTGAGTCACCGACTCCTAGTATCCGCTGGTTGGGTTTCAGTCCTGAGTCTAGAGAGTCT